GCGGGCGCCCATGCCTCCCTTCACATTTTTTTTCTATAATTTAACTTTACTTCAATTATTTAAAAACATTTTTAGAATTTTGATAACCACTTAGAACCTTATAAATATTCATTGTTTCATGATCTAATTATTATAAATAAAGCATTGAGTTTAGGAATACTGATTTTATAGACTGCAGTCTTTAATGTTTGTTTTAATGCATATTTTTTCATATTTTTTTGTTTTTGATTCTTATAATCCATTTGCCTGCGGGCGTTCACGTCCCCCTTCCCATTTTTAATTTTAGAATTGAATTCTATCTAATATTTTACAATATAATTGTTTATTGAACTAATTATTTTGAATAGCATTGTTGGATGAATTATTTTTAGATTGTAGACCGCAGTCTTTATAGTGTGTTCCTAATGTACTAATCTAACCTAACTCAGTAGACGTTGCATATGGTTGGGTTTTGTTCAAGTGAAGTCAAGATTATCGAAGACAAAATATTGATCCAATAAAATTTTAAAATATAATAGTTAGCATATTTTTAAAGTAAATATAATAAAATTTTTCAGTATAAAATAGGTATAAAATGTAAATTATAAGGCAGAATATAAGTATAAGCCACAAGGTATGAGATCTGAGTTGCATACTCAATGTTATAATTTTAAAAAGTGTGATATTTGCTCAACATCAATGTATAGTTTTTAGACAAATTTTGTCATATGAAAGCGTAATTCATAAGTTTTATTTTTCAAATACATATTGTAATTAAAAATTAAAGTGCACTTGTATATAAAAAGTAATATCATACAATTTATTGTCAATATAAAAATATTTAAAATTATTAGTGTCGTATACAAGTTAAAAAATAAAAATAATGTTTTTCTGATGTTACAACAGTAATGGTGAGTAACTTAATAAACTAGATAAACTTCAACTAATAAAAATAATTAATTTTATTAACTACTAGTAAATACATATTTTCTTGTTACTCATGTCGAAATAAAATAATTTTTGTAAATGTTCTCCTCATAGAATTGACAATTTTTTTCCTGTGCACTCAGCAGCAAGGTGAATATTAATATTTAAGTCACTGAGAATAGTCATGCGTATTATTTGATCTCGATATGTAATTGTTGGCAAAAAACATTCCAAGATAGAAATATTCTTTCTGCTTCTTGACATAATATGTTCACAACATTATGACCAGGGCTCATAGTTTGTGCCTTAAAAAATGCCTAAATAAGCATGCACTCAAAATTAGCAAAATATGCCTGAGATATGTCTTAAAAAGTTTAAAAAAATAAGCATTTACATACACTTAAAAAATTATTAACAATTTTTAAAATAACATGAATTATTCATTCATTTTTTTATAATTATATTTTATTTTTTAGTCTCCAGTGAATCACTCTTCAAATTCCAAGAAACTATTGTTAAATAATCAAGAAGATAAGACAATTTCTATTTTTAATTTTATAATATTGCGACCGAAATCCCAAATATTTTGTATAAATATTTAATACATTAATATTATTATGAAAAATTATAAATGATTGCATTTTTTTTTAGTCAAATGTTGATTCTTTCATAGAACTTCCATAAAAATATATATATCGATATAATAATATGAATAGAAGTATCAAAATCATGTATGATATGTCTGATAAAATAGAAATATGCATAAATACCTAAATAGGCAAAAAAACCTCTAAATATTCAAAAACATGCAAAATAAGACTTCATCTATTTCACTGTGGTACCTTGAAATGGATTTCTATGTAATATGGCATTAAATACAATTTAGCAAGATTGATGTGCAAATGCATGAACTTACGTGCTCTGACCATGACTTAGTTTTGTGCTTTTATTAAAGTATTATTTCAACCGTTTTCTTTTGTTAATTTAAAATTGTGATAAATTAAAGAGTCAATCAAAAATGTAGGACATGTATGTAAGTTAAATTATTTTCTTCATTACAAAACCAGCGATGTAACATTGTAACCTGTTATACCTCATCTAAAAATGGTGTTATGGCCACGAGAACAAAATATGGCAGCTTGCAAATATGAAAAGCACATCTTTTTTCCAATAAACAAGGGTTCTCAAACTGAGGCAGTACACGGTTGGACTTTTCTTTTGAATATGTGTTTTTTCTTTATTATTTGCCTTTGTTCTTGGTTTAGTTACCAATTGGCAATTTTGAGTTTTGGCAATTGTTTTTTGTATTGTGTAAGTTACTACAGTTTGTTAATAAGTTCATAATTCAGCTGCCAAGTTAGTTGTAAGCATGGGAATGGCTTTGTTCCAAAGTACCGGTTTCGCACGTTGACTTGGTATAGGAAGTGTCTAACAATGCGTCTGATCGCCAACCGACAAAAACTGGTCTCCATCGGGAAATGATCTTATTTTAAACACAGTAATTTTGCGATACAATGACAGAAAATTACCACTAGGATTTTGCAGATCAGGGGTTACTTTTCGTTCTCTCAACTTTATTGTGTATTTAAAGATTATATATAATCATGGTCTATTTGAACTGTATAACATTTTGATCTTCTATTTTGGTTTTTCAAATTTTCATTTTGAATTTGCTTCTCTTTAAATTTGTTCTTCTTCATGTCCAAAAATCTTTTTGTCTGTGCCGCAGAACTTAATTGACTTGGTGATAAGACTTCTATTGTGTTAGGATTTAATATCTCTTTATGTTCTCTTTCTTTTAGTAGTCTATTTAAGGATTGTATGTATTCTTGATCTTTTTCAATTTTTTGTTTTAGTCTTTTAATTTGTTTTTTCAAATTACTATTTTGAACTTGTTTTTCTTTAAATTTGCACTTTACCATGTCCAAATGTCTCTTTGCATTTCTCGGAGAACTAAAATGACTTGGTGATAGAACTCCTATTGTGTTGGCATTGAATATCTTACGTTTTGGACTTTGACAAGGACTGTAAGTAATGGTACAATTCATCATGGGATAGTCCAAAGGTTCAACATCTAAAATGAAATAGTTTAATTTAATTTACAAAATTAGATTGAGATAATACTATGTACATGAATGTTAGATGATAAATAACTTGATACAGACCTTTACTCGTAGACACTATAGATTCGATGCATGAGCTTTTCATCAGACTTGTACAAGGGCTAGAAGTACCTTCATAATCCAAAGGTTGAATATCTTAAATGAAATAGTTTAATTTAATTTATAAAATTAGATTGAGAAGTTATGAATGCAAATAATGTAGGACAATAAATGTATTGATACATACCCGTACTTGTAGAAGCTAAGAATGGAACAGCATTCTTTAAAAGGTATCCACTATGTGAGTAGTGTTTCGGCAAAAAATGATCTCCACATATTTTATTTGATGGCAAGCACAATTTTATTTTACAAGCTTTTAACCACAATTTTTTTCGAACTTCATCTTTAGGAAAGCTAAAATAATATAACATCAAATATATTGTAATGCACGTTTAACAATGTAATGTTCTAAGTGACAACAAATAATATAAGATAAGTATTGTATTTACGAATGAAATGTTTCATCTGAACCCTTGATGTATAGTTTATTACAAACAACACATTTCCTTGTCATTGTTATTATTGTAAAAGTATAACGAGAACAGAGAAATTTTAACCTTAGACAACTGATACTAATTTTATACTAATACTAATACTAAAAATTGTATAGCGTTTATTTTATTAGTATAATAATTAATAAATATAAATATAAATTATAATCGTATTTCGTAAAATCGTAATTTACCTTTAAATTTATAATGTTAAATGTTAAAATAATTGATGATAAGAATCACAGATTTCTATTTGAATGATAAGCAATTGTCCGTAAATGATAACAGTGGTTATACTATAGAGCACGATTAAAGATATAGTTAAGTATATCTTTAATCGTGCTAGCTATAGAGTCTATAGACCTTATACCAAATAAGTATAAATAATCAATTACTATGAATATGAAAAAAAATGCAATGAAGTACCTCATATCAGGCAATTTATCAGAACCTCGCTTTTTTTGTGTTTCACAAATACTATTGGTTGATATGACTGTGTCAGGTGACAGAGTCCCTTGATGAGATGATTCAAAAACTACAATTGTTAAGATTCAACTCTAAATTATTAATTATTATTTACAAAATATATAAATGGATAGAAACCTGTGTTGGTGGATACTGGTGGTTCTGGTTGTATATAATTATTTCCTGGTATAGCAATATTTTTTAAAAGACCGCTCGGTAGAAAGTCTTTACTTGAAATATGAGCCTCACAAACTTTATATGATGGTAGATATAGGTCAATACCACAAGCTTTTAACCACAACTCCTTGCGACCTTCATCTTTAGGAAAGCTGAAATAAAATGAATAATAATACTGTCAAAGTATAAATATCGGTAGCTAATAAAAGAAAAAAGTAGTAAAATGTATATTAAAAAGAATATATTGTTAAAAAAACGAAACGAAGATATACATAAAAATTAAAGGATATTATCATGTTAAAATATAATTATTTATTTTACTTACGAATAAAATGATTGTTCACTATTCTTGTCATAAGCATTGCAAATTACACACTTTCTAGGCATCTTAATAAAAAGTTAGGTAGTTATTACTAGTAAAAAATAAGGATAGTCGTAAAACGAATACCTTAAAAACTAAAATCTAGTGGCTACTGGCTACTAAAAATACAAAGTATAAAATTGACAAATCTTACAACGGCAAAATCGTTGAGAATTTGAAATCAGAAATTCGGAATGATAACCATAATATTATTGTTATTGTATTATTGTGATAGTACTTGGTGTGTATTGATATTTGATAAGGCGCACGGTAAAATTAAAAATTATTGTACAATCACATGGTTCTTGTGCGCATGTGCGATGTACATGTACTACCTTGATCAGCGCCCTCACAATATAGTCACGTCATGCATTACCATGTACCGTCTAATGTCTATTACTTATTAGTATAAGTTCTATGGGTTATACTACGGTTCAAGATATATTCTCTTAAATTGTGGGTTATACGATTTTCGAGTGATAAGCTCTTGTTCGAAAACGATAAGAATTAAGAGTGGTTTTACCTTAGATTAGAGATCCTTAAAATATTAAAATATTAATTAAGGCTCTCTACCTTAGATAAAATACTTCACAATATAAATGATCATTAAATATTTCAAAATCACCATTGCCTAATATTTGCAAGCATTGTGTGTGCATCGTATTATTCGTATTTCAGTAACATGAAAAACAGTCCCAAGACCTTCCGTGGAGGGTCTAAAATCTAAATATTATGAAGGCTATACGCTATTAACAAAATATAGATGTAAATTAAAATAAATAATGACTTAATTATAAGTATTGAAATTAATTTTTTTATAGTTTATTCGAAAATAATAAGATAGGCAACAAAAACTGAGTTACAATTGTGTTTTAAATATATTTAGACAATATATGTTACAACTATTGTTATTATGGTATCGACAAATCCGTATCGATGAATAAAAATAAATGGACTGGTTAGAATTTAACTTCATAGATGGCAGAACATAATATTATATATATTAGGTATTTTGCTGATATTCAAACCATAGAGTAAGTCGGTAAGGAAATTCAAACAAAATATACCAGAAAAATAAATAAAGCGGAATATGAGAGTAGGTATAGCGTATACAAAGTACAATAATTAATGTCCATGATATTTTTGATTAGGCTTTGAAAAACGTATACAAATGCCAAAAATATGGATTTGTAATTAAGAAAATTTAAAAAAGACAAATATTAGTAACATTAAAATATTAAATCAACTTAAAATTATGGTTTAAGCTTTAAACTTTTAAATTAAATATTATAATACGTAGCCTATACAGGTATATTTTAAAATTTCACTAGTCACATACAAATTATTAGCTGCTGTAATGAATCCAAACTTTTTATCCAAGGTACACCACTAAGCTTTAAGTGTACCTCTTATCCTCCCTCCTTTGGATCAAATTCGTTTGTGGTACACCACCGTGAATACAACGGAGAACATAAGTATAAAATTATCACTAATTCTCATTGATAACCAATATAACTCGTTCACCTTGGTAAAAAATTTAAGCAATGTATCCAACAATTGATGAAATTAACAGAGCCAATCCCGCTGGAGATGCGTGAGTATAATGTTTCATATAGAAATAGGTAACGGAAGTGAAATTGTTCAATGTTTAAAATAATTGGACAAATAAAAGATAGTCCTGATACAATTTTTTTTTAAACCAGATGAATACCCACGCAGAGTCTGTTATCTACATACATTTATTATTACTATATTATTAAAAAATATTAATAATTAATATACATATCAATTAATTGTATATACCTACCTACTTAATTGAAATTGAAATTAATAATGTATATACAAGTTGATAATAATAAGTATATTTTTTATTTTCGTATGGACCACCTGCCTTTGTAATGGGCTTGCACATTTGGGATCCACTGATAAAGATTATAATATATTTAAATCTATTATGTAAGTAGGTAGAATCAGTGGCGCAGAAGTCTGAATTAAATGGTGTAGCAAAAGGATTTTTTTCGGACCCACCCACCCATATCTGCTATCTCTTTAGCTGTTGCAGTGAACGCTCCACATTTTTCTTTCAAATATACATTTATAATAGGTGTACGATATACTTAATTATATGCCTTTTAAAAGGTGCAGTAGGTATATGCGTGTAATGTAGATAGCCGGTATACTAATATGGTATAGGTACCTACTAATTTTATGGCTGTATGTATAAAATATACTGAACTTAATTACCATTAATAAGAGTATATTATTCGAAATAAATTGTTGAATTAACAGTGTTCGTACATCAACACATTGTATCTTGCTAATATGAACTGCAGTCTTGTCAGCCCTATTCCCCCGTGACAGAGGTAGGTACAGCGAAAGTTTACACACGTGTCGCGGTCTCGCGCATTAATGTATTGCACTATATGTATTTGTGTGTTTATTATAGTCCATATAATATATAGGTTTATTATTATATATATTATTAGCCAATCATGTAACCGTGGATCATATATGAGGCTCTTGGGTGTCGTTAACCATCAGGCAAGCATTAAATCATTTACAAATATATGATATGACACCAAAAGGTGAAAAGACATTCATTACAATTTTGTTCAATTTTATTATCCCGTGTATAATGTGTACCACAGTGTATGACTGTTGAAGTCTATGTTCCTAGTGTTCCTACCTAGAATGTATATCTTGTCGAATCCCTGTATAGAAACATTATACTATTTATACTGCGTGTCAGGTGATCTATCTTTGATTTTAGATAAAAAGTCACGACGTGAAAATGTGAATATTGTGATAATGGTTTTTGGTTGAAACTTCAACAAAAAAAACACCAATGCTAATATTATTATTAGAGTAGCCTGTAATATATAGGTACTTATTAAGAAAACATATTTCGATTATTTATGTACAGATAATAATATGGTAAAAAATTGGAGGCCAATAGTGGTAAATGAGAAAACAAATTTTGTTTTGCTTGTCCTGAGCAATTATTAGTAAAATGTATCTCCTCTGGTTGTTTGCACTGAACCCTTTAATTATCGAATGTACTCATAAATACTGTTTTAGTTTTAATTTTAATTTCATATTATTTGTACTTTATTGTACAGTAAAAGCATTGCAACGATTTGTTAAGTGTTTTATCTTTTATGGGTGGGACGTGAGTGTGTGTACTTGTTTATTATAGTTGCGGTGACAATATAGTTTAATGCGATAACGTATAGTAATTAATGAAGGAGTTTAATGATAGCCAATAGATGAACTGGATGATAGTGACTAGTTATATAGACTTGGATAGTAGTGGAGTAGAAGTAGTAATTATTGAAGAGACAGTTGCGATAATAGGAAGTACATGCAGCTGGTCGAGTGCTGAAAGACTAGAAGAAGCAGTTAGGGACTAGAGTCTAGAAGGAAGAGTCAATTTAGTAAAGACTGTAATGTAATTAGTATCAAGTAATAAGTATTAATAAATCATAAATATAGTATGTGTAGTTAAATAATTATTAAGTATATTATAATACACCGACAATGAAAATAATTAAAGTTGGAACATCGTTAAAATTTAACTCATGGTCAGTTGATAGAATTACTCATAACTGCTCTTACATAAATGCAACTATAAATCCCAAGTAGCTCATAAAAACTATAATACACAGAAAAAAATACCTTAAAGCAAATCTTTTTAGCTCTACGTACTTATAGTAATGTTTATTTATTTATTTATTCATTATACGTATATATTAATTAATTTATACAGTATCATTTTTTTTTGTAAATAATAAGACGTGAGTTACTTTATGCGACTATGACGCTAACCGTAAGATGGCCACCCCTGTTATATACGATATAATAATATGTACTTATCAGTTACCAGTGGTTAAGGAATTAAAGTACTAAATCGATGCCTCATAAAACAATAATTTATAACTTAATAGTTTGTATCGATGTAAAAGAGGGGGGGGGAGAATTTACAGGATTTAAACAATAAAATTATGCACCTAATACTTTTATATAATTTTGGAATTGTATGCTGTATGCAAAATAAGAATAAATGGTGGATATTAATAGTAGATGTTTATATTATTATAATTTATAATACTTATAATATCAGGAAAAAATAGCAGAATTATCTATATGTAAATAATTATTTATAACTAGCGGATATTTCTATTTATTAATACTATTGGAAGTTATAAACTATTAACGATTTACAAGAAATCAAGTTTGTAATTTAATAATTTATTGTATATTGCTAGATATAAAAACAATATTTCCCATCTCCATCAGACGTTACTATTTGAACGGGATTTAATTTACTTATATTTTACGTAGCATAAGCCATAAATAGCTACAGATTGTATAAATAAAACAAATTGTATTCACGGGTAAATTCAACAAAATCACATAGAAGACTCCATTATATAATTAAAAAAATCCATTGTGATGTAAAAAAAGTTAAATTTACAACGTCGTAAAAACAAATTTAATACATTTATTTAAAAATGCTTAGCACATTAAAGTACAAGTTTAACTTTGCGATAATATAATACCCGAGAAAGTTATAAGGTGTACGTGCAAAACGAATAAAAACGTTAGAATATTAAAAAAAAAAAAAATAATAACAGAATTCATTTTTACGTTGCTTAAAGTAATTTCGATCTCGCCGAACCGTTTCAGCGACGAATTTATATACTCTCTGAATTAATTATACTTTAATTTCAGAGTGTATTAGAATCACAATAATATTTATGAATTTTAATATATTCAATTTTTCAATTATTTTGCGTCGGAAAGCTTATTAAAATTTTGATTTTAAATCAAGATAATATTTAACTTAAATAATGAACCAGCTTTTATAATAAACGAACGCATAATTAAGAATAGCATAGTATTAAATGAATTCGACTCAAAACTTCAACGCATAACAATACTTAAACGATGTTCACGTGATACAATAATAACGAACATAATGGGTAAGTATAGATATAACGATTAAAAACGTTTTTTTGTGACATTTTATAGTAAATATCAATGTATCATAGGAATTATAATTGGGAAGGCACAATCACTGCATCTGCGTATTGCACTGTTACATTGTACACTGACGACTGACACACTGTTGTAGTTCAGGTGTCTTATAACTACACTGCCTATAAATATCGCTGACGATTGGGAAAAGTATAAATTTATCCCA